GTCTAATTCTTTTTTCATAAGTATCAATTGTATCTAATGAAGTGAATTTTTCATTTATAAGAGCTTTTAAAGATGCTTGTTGATTTCCAATTATTGTTTCTCGATATTTACCTTGCATTCAGTTATAAACTTCTGCTTCTGTAACAATATTCGCATTAGCATTATAGGGGTTTTGTGCTGGAACTGGAAAAAATCTACCTGTCATTTTACTTTTCATGATATTTGCTCTTTTTGTGGCATTAAAAGTGTCAACACCTAAAGGTCTGACTGTTTCATTTATAGCTCTAAGTTTTGCATAATAAGTATGTGGTGGTTCTTGTCCATCATAATCTGGTAATATAGCCAGTCATGATAAAATTGTATGCATAGCATCTTATATGATGGCCATATTAATTAGATTTGCTTATAGATTATTTTGTAATATAAAAATATGTTGACGTAAATTATTAATTGTTTGTTTGATATCATGGGTTTTATTTTTCCATTTTTTATACCTTACTATAAGTTGATCTCGCCAATATTTTAATATTGTTTCATTATTATGACATTGTTGTAACTGCTGTTTCAATTTCAGATTTACTTGTTTATTCAAAAGCTATAATGCAAATTGTTTATGCAATAATGAATTAATACGTCTATTTTTTTGAGTTTTAATATAGATAGCATTCAACTTTCAAAAATTGCAAGATTTTTCTTTATCTTTTACATGATTTTGTAAAGTATCACATTCTTGTATAAGCTGATTATTACAGTTTTGCAAAGTAATATTATCCTGGATAAGCTGGTTAATATTATTTTGCTGAAGTGTATCAAGTTGTCTATATCTATTAATATCTTGTTGTAACCACTTTATTTGATTGTCTTAATTATCTTGTTCAGCAATAATGCCATCAATATCCTGGTACACATTTCGATAATTATAACGAACAGTATTCAAAGAACTACAGAACCTTTCGATAATTCTGATAGAATTATTTATTGAAGTACTGTCATCTCTAAGATGATTTTCGAGTTGATCCAAGCCTTGGTTAATAAGTATAAAAAGATCTATATTTGCCATATTAGTGTCTTGTTTTTCTAAAGTCTGGGTATATGAATCTGGTGAGCTTCTTCTTAATTAAATAATTTTTATTATTAATAAGATGAATAATAATAAAATGACTATTTGTCCTTTCGAATTCTATCTGTTTTATATATTTTGTTATATTCAGTAATGGTTTCTTTTTACTAATTCTATAAATTTTGTAATATTATATCTATGTATTATAATTCTTCTCCATATTAAATATATTACACATTTATTCCATCATTTGTTAATATATAAAACTGGAAACAATAATTTATTATTATCATATAAGCTATCATTTTGTGTTCATAAATGTTGTAATATTTCTATTATAATTTCATTCGGAAGATTTATATCAAATCTTTTTGGTGGTTTTCTTTTTACTGCTAACTTTGTATTTTGCTTTTTATCTTGTTGTATTTTTTTAAAATTTGGCAAACTATTTGTAATCAAATTTGGAATTTATGAATAAGGTGGTTTTCATATAACTGTTATACAATTTTTTACTGTACAAATTCCTCTTTTTTCAAGTTTTAACTTACTTATTTCTTTATCTATTTTGAGATTTACTCTTTCAACTACTATAAATTCATTTGTATGAATTCATTTTACTTGATCTCCTAAAGGTTTTACAATTTCAGAAATTGGTTTTCTAGTTGAAGCTAATAAAAAGAATTTTATTCTTGGGTGTGTTCCATAGTTTTGCCCATTCCTTTGTTTACATAAGGCACCCCATAATGAAACTAATAATGCTTTACTTACTTTTCCAGTTATTCCGCCTTCTTTTTTAATATTATATAATATATTTCCCCATTCTCCAAACATGTCTTTTTCTATTATACATATATTTCTTTCATAAATAAGTGCATTTGGTGATTCATTTATCAAATATACTTTTAAACCATTTCTTTTAGCACTTTCTAAATCATAATGCATATAAATCCCATATGAATTATATCACAAATATCTTGTACATTGAAGACTTTTCTTTGATGGATTTTCTTCTATTATTGCTTTATAAATTTCATATGGAAATTTAATCCATTTTTCTACTAAAGATACATATATAATATGAAACTTACCTGATACAACAGGCCATGATGCTTCTTTCTTTAACATTTCATATATATACATCAAATTTACATCATATTGAATAGCTTCTCTTTCATATTTTTCTGCAAATATTAGAGTGCCTGTTGATATTAAATCTATTCAAACCTTCTCCTATTCACTTATTTTTTCACTTTTTAATGGTGCTAAAGTAGTTTCTTTGAAAAGTTTTATAGATGTTAATGTATAATTTCCTGATTTGCACATATCAATTCTATCATTAGTTTTTTCTGCTATTGCTTCTAATTCATCGTTAATTCTTTTATATGCTCTTATAGTTGTTTCTCCAATATTTTCTTAATAAATAATATTTGATATATAATGCTTGAAAATCTTCTTTAACACCATACCATTTTCTTTTTCCGTTATAAAACTCAAATTCATTTGCTATATTCTTATAAATTAAGATAGTTTTGTTTTGCTTTGTACTAGGTCCTATCTCTGAGTTGACTGCCGGCGCATTTACTTCTTTCGGCTAAGCTGGCTGGTACGTCAGTGGATTTTCATCAAATGAAATAAGATTGCCCTCTGGAGCTGGTATCTGATTTTCTAGTGAAGCTGGAACTGGGTTTTGCATTAAACACAAAGCCGGTAAACATTGTCCTTTACGAAGGTTTTCATTTAAATTCATGTGTTTATTAAGATCTCGGGTTTTACCAGTTAATATTGGTCGATTACAGTCTGGACATTTAAGTATTTTAGCCATAGTTATATGTATTCTGTGTTTTTTATTAATATAACCAAATCTTTTGTTTAAATTAAAAATAATTAATTCAGTTATATAAATTTATTGAAATATTTAGTGAATATATCAAAAAGCAAGATAAATATATTGAAAAGTGAAGTAAATATATATGCTGTCATATATCATTTCTATCTCAGGAGAAAAATAAAGACAGAGAACTAGTAACAGGGAGGCACTTTAGATGGACAGGACCAATGTGGTATGCTAAAGTTCCTAAAGGCGTACAAATTAGTACAGTTCTG